ATGACAGGGATATTTGCATTGCATTAATGATTATATGCTTAGTCTTGACTGTGTTCCAGGCACTGTGCAGGAATTAGGGATAATGAAATAAGACAGACCTCGGCCCTCATGGGGCTGACATTCTAGCGAGAAAGACAGACAAACAGTTACGTAAGATAATGTGTCATTGCTACAAATAAAAGTAAGCAGGGCAAGGTGGTAGAGGATGAGGGAGTTGATAAGTGGTATGAGAGCAGAGATGTGAAGTGAGAGACAAGTCATTTGAAGATCAGAAGCAGGGTTGTTCCAAGCAGGTAGAACAGAAACTGCACTTGCCCTGAGTGCTTGAAGGACAGCAAGAAAATTACTGCAGGTAGAGAGGAGTGAGATGAAGGTCAAGTCAGAGAGAAGGAAGGGCCAGGCAGCTCCCGGTTTATTGTGAAAGCCACGGGAGGCCCCTGGAGGGCTCCGCTCTGCATCAGAAGGTCCCCTGGCTGCCGGGGGCCTGGCGGCAGGAAGGGGCGCCCATGGGCAGCGCGAGAAGCATGGCGACTGGCCTGGAGACCCCTGCAGTCGCGGAGGTAGGAGACGAAGCCGTCTGCTTATGACGGTTGACTCCTGTCAGCTCTCCCTTGTTTAGAAGAGTTTAACACACAGGTTTGTGACCTAACCAACTGTTGTTGACTCAGCTGGATCATCTAAGGAGGACTTGAAGTCAGACCAGCTGGCTCGAGGCAAAGTGCATTATTCACATTGTTGTTTGGGGCCAAGTTTATTCTTCTCATGTTGTCTTAGCTGTTCCAACCCCTGTTGTTTGTTCCTTCATTCATTCACTCAAGAAATGTCAGGCGCGTCTAATGTGTGGCAGGACTGTTCTGAGTGCTGGGGATACAGCAGTGAACGCAGGAGGAAGGGTGCTGCTTCTCAGGGAACCTGTATGTGCACAGCAGCATTTCAGGTGCTATGGAGAGACACAGATACAAAAATATAAACACATATTCAAGTATTCATCTTCCTCAAGCGAGGAAATAACTAGTTGTTCACAAATAACAGCTATTAAATAGATTTTAGTAAATAATTTCTCATATTCATTAATCCTTTTTCTCCAAAAGAGCATGAAAGATATTTTGTATGATGAAAAGCTGTAGCTATTTCTGAATTATGAAGAAAACTTACTTTTAGGCAGTGATTCAGTTTCCCTCTTTTATTTTTTTTGCATTGATGTTACAGCTGTACCAGGACTTTGATAGCTTATACGTTTCATATACGTTTATTTAATATTGACATTGTCTGTCTCTCCCGCTAGACTGTCAGTTCCTCAGTGTCGGGAGCCATTTGTTTCTACGCACCTTTGTAGTCCGAGGACTTAATCCAGTTCCTGGCACATCGGGGGTGCTTACTAGATATTTGTTGGATGAGTGAATGAATGAGTGAATTTGTTTAATTTGCCAAAGCAAGTTTGAAGTCCGCCTTGCCCATTATGCTGCTTTGCAGAGAAGAAAGCCACCCATAAGAAAGCTGAGAGTTTAGAAATCAAATATAATACAGTTTACAGGGATTGTTGTGAGGCCATTTAGTCGATGATGTTTGGATGTTTATGTGGTCTTGGTTGATGTTTAAAACTACAGTGGCTGCTCTTAGTTTAGGCTCTGCAAGCTTCTGGTATGTTCGGTTTACTATGTTTATAGAAAATGGATGATAATATTTAAAATATTTTAACAAAATAGAGTATTTTCTGATTTACTTTGCATCTCATTTGTAGAGCATTCAGGTCAATTGAGGTATTTCTTTGAATATGATGTCATTGTTCTGTATTAAAGGAACATCCCCCCCAAAAAGATATTTCATCTTTTAAAAAAATAAAAACATTTGCATATTTCTGCTTTACAAAACACATTTGTTTTGAGAAACATGCATGTATGCTAAAATACTTTAAGAGGGAGAGCGAGTCTAGCTTGTGGCATTAAGCCATCACTACCCACTGTGGTGAATTATTCATCCCTCACCCTAACCAGGCCCTTAGCAGTGGTTACAAGTCTTTCTCCTGGCCCTCTCCCATCATCCCTCCCTCTGTATTCTCCATGACCCCCCAGTCTGTTTCCACTTTGTTCAAGACCCCGAGATCGCCTCTAGCATAATCTCCCTGCAGTCCTCGTCTTAGTGGGCCTCCTGAGGTTGGTGATTCTAGTTTTGTGACCTGGGGAGGGGTGAGTGAGAGATGGAAGCTCTTGGTTTTTGAGGGGCCCCATTCACGTCCAGGAGCTGCCTGGACACAGAGCAGGTTAGGGCAGGAGTCGGGGTGGATGGAGAAACCATGGGTCAGGCCATTAGTGGGCGAGGGGAGGCTAGCCATGACCACAGAAGGGTGAGGGTTAAGGGTAGGGTGGCCAGATCTTATGCGCTTTCTTGATTGAGGGAGAGTTTTTATATGCAAGTGAAAGTGTCGTGGTTTAGGGGTGGCAGCAGGAAGCTAGAAGATGCCAAAGGTTGAAGAAATGGGGAGTTCAGAACAGAAAGCAGCTCTTAGAAGGAACAGCAGACAAAGGGTTGCGAAAGAAGAAAATCCCAAGGATGAGGAAGGAAATGAGGTACAATAATAGTGGCGACTAGGAGACTGGGGTGAGGGGCAGGGTGGTGCTCTTAGGGATGGAGGTTATTGCCTTGAGAGGCAAGGGGAAAAGTCATTGACCTCAGTTACCTCAGCTTTGGCATAAACCAGTCCATTGGCGGCACCATCTGAGGGTTCCGAGCATGACTTGGCTTGATCTCGGAGACGGAGAGGATGGCCGGAGGGTTTGCAGAGGTGCAGGCGTCTCACGGTGTGGGTGGCGTGCAGTGACGTCTGCCGGAGCAGGTGGTGGGAGTGGTGTCAGATGCTTTGGATCCACTGTCCCTCGTGGGCAAAACCCAGAAGACACGCAGTACAGCAAATTAAAGATCAGTTAGAGGTTAAGTCCACAGGGACTAACGCAGGAACTCTTAGGACTCAGGGCTTTTATTGTTCTTAAAAATAACATAGGGAGTTTGTTTAAGGCTAATCAAACCCCTCAGGACAGACTTACAGCAGAGAAGTGAAGTGTGGCTCCAGGTGCAGTCCTAGCATCATTGTGTTGGCCTGTGACATGCCCGTGACCAGAGGTGGAACCACAGGATGGATCCAGACAGTCTTGCTCTAGCACCTGCATCTTAAATGTGATACTTTTCAAAGATCTTTTTTGACACCTAGATTAAAATCATTATTTTCTTTTAATATTCATGAAAATGAATATTTTCACTTGCTCCCATTTTATCTTTATAATAACCTTGCAGAGGAAGATGGTATTCCATTTTAGAGACAGGAAAATCAAGACCTTTTTCGTTACAGTGGGGTTGAATGTTTTTTCATGTGTTTTATTTAAACTTTTGAGTTTTGTTTCTATAAACTGTTGATTTCAAGTCCTTTGCCAACTTTGTCTTTTCTGTTGTGTTGAGATAAACTCTTTATATTATACGTTGAAGATGTTAATAATTTTCAGGTTTCACTGTTTTTAACTTTTTCAATGAGTTCTAATGCATGGAACTTAGTTTTATGCAGTCATGTCTGTAGCTCTTCTAAAATGTAATTTTTTAATTCCTTTTATTTTAGGAAGGCTCTCCTTAAATTTTCTTCTCAATTTCTATTCTATCGTTTAAAAAACTGTAAACTGTGAACTTCCTGGCACTTATTAAATGTTTACGGAAGCTCTGAAGGTGAAGCTTCCTGACTGGGTGGTCATCTGAGTGCTTTTTGTTGGCTGGACCGCGGGCGCCTTGTGTGGCCAGGTGGCCCCGGCTGCCTGTATGTGGCTCGCTGGGGCCGGACGGCCTGGCTTGAATCCGGGCCGTGCCGCTTCCTGGCAGTGACTTTACCACTTGATCCCCTTTCCTCGCTTGTGAAATACCGTTAATAGCAATGTCACAGGGCATGAGACCCTGCCCCTGAAGTCCTTCCTCTTCAGGCTCAGGGTGCGTGATGCAAGCACAGGTCAAGCACTTAATGTTAGCGACCCTCAGGTTTCCACGACATTTACTTATTCCTGTAACTACAGGAAACGTTCCACAGAGTTACAGACCTCACATTTGGAAGGGGCCTTAGAGATTCTCTGGATTAAATAGGTAGTTCATGATGCCTTTGTTCCCTAAGCCTGACTGCACAGCAGAGTCGCCTGGGGGAGCTTTGAAAAGTGCAGGTTCCAGGCCTCATCTCTGACTTAATCAGAATTTCTAGCATGTATGGCCCAGTATTTTTTAATGTTAACAACTTCCTCTGTGGTTCTTATGCATTTGCGTTGGCACTGCCAAGAGGTTTTCCAGCTTCTACTTTAAAACTTTCCCTGTTGGGACTTCCCTGGTGGTGCAGTAGTTAAGGATCCGCCTGCCAATGCAGGGGACACTGGTTCGATCCCTGATCCGGGAAGATCCCACATGCCGCGGAGCAACTAAGCCCGTGCGCCACAACTACTGAGCCTGCGCTCTAGAGCCTGCGAGCCACAACTACTGAGCCCACGTGCCACAACTACCGAAGCCTGCGCGCCTAGAGCCCATGCTCTGCAACAAGAGAAGCCACCGCAGTGAGAAGCCCGCGCACCGCAACGAAGAGCAGCCCCCGCTCGCTGCAACTAGAGAAAGCCCGCGTGCAGCAACAAAGACCCAATGCAGCAGCCAAAAATAAAAAAAAACTTGCCATGTTGTAATATTTGTGGAGTAATAGATTAAATGAGTTAATAAAAAGCGGTTGTTTCTTATCTCCTCAGTACATTATGTGTGAGGATAGGTTTTGCTCTTTTCTCATTGACCTATTAGTATTCTTTTAAAGATTCTCTTTCATCGTAACTCTGTTTTCTCCAAATTCAGTCATAATGTGTATATGTGAAAGATACCTATTTCTTGTACATTACTCTAACAGTTCCAAACATTTTACTTAGCTCTGATGGAATACTGTTCTTTTTTTTTAGTTTAGTTTTTTCATGAAGTGATTAATTCTGAAATACGCTTATTTTCAGAGCTCTTTGACAACTACATGCAGCAGGATGCCCACGAGTTCTTGAATTACCTGCTGAACACGATCGCCGACATCTTACAGGAAGAGAGAAAGCAGGAAAAGCAGAATGGTCGTTTGCCCAACGGGAATATTGACAGTGAAAACAACAACAGCACACCAGACCCAACGTGGGTTCATGAGATTTTTCAGGGAACATTAACTAATGAAACCAGATGTCTTACTTGTGAGACTGTAAGTATATCATAAAATTTCGTGTAGAACAAATCTCATCCATTATATGAAGTGTTCTTTGAGAGTGGGTATGAGAGATGAACTGGGAAGTTGTAATCCTCAGGTGTAGAGTATATGACTGTGACAGATGTGCCTCTCAGTCGTCTGCTTGTTAATAGTGAATACTGAGGTGGCAGAGAAACACTTGCTGCTGTTTGAACTATTTGAGTTTGTTTCACTACAAGAGACCGTAGAGCCATATTCTGGAAATTATAGTCTTAGTTGAGCGTGTAAAACCTACAGGTCAGGGAAGTATATTAATTTGTTGCTTCTTTTCCTACAATTATGTTTGTTGTTTATGGTTGGAATAAAAGCTGAAGCCTCCTGTGTACACTTAAGGAGGGAAACTACCCACTTGCTGGGTAGTTTGTAAAGATGAGCAATAGGTAAATCTCTTGAAAACGATTTACTCGTAGGGTCGGATAACGCAGGCCTCCTGTTAAGTTCTTACCTTGTTCTCCCTTGACGAATGAAAGGTCAGACTCTTACTTAGGCACCTTTATCCAGTTCTGCCACTGACCCCCTTTACAGCACAGCCCCCTCTCAGCACAGGGTCTGGTTTTAGAGTTTAGTGGTTTGCGTCGCATGTGGTCACCATGCTTCCTTTAGCCTCCTGCAATCTGGAACATGTTCATAGTCTTCTTCTCTTTTATGATACTTACATTTTTAAAGACTGTGCCCCTCCCCCTTTTAATCTAACATTCCTCGTATCAAGTTTGCCTGATGTTTCCTTCTAATTAGATGCAGGTTGTGCATTCTTTTTTCTTTTCTTTTATTAATTAACTTTTTATTTTTGGCCGCGTTGGGTCTTCGTTGCTGCACACTGGCTTTCTCCAGTTGCGGCGAGCGGGGGCTACTCTTTGTTTTGGTGCGCGGGCTTCCCATTGCGGTGGTTTGTCTTGTGGAGCACGGGCCCTAGGCACACGGACTTCAGTAGTTGTAGTTGCAGCACGTGGGCTCAGTAGTCGTGGTGCACGGGCTTAGTTGCTCCGTGGCACGTGGGATCTTCCCAGACCAGGGCTCGAACCTGTGTCCCCTGCATTGGCAGGCGGTTTCTTAGCCCCTGCGCCACCAGGGAAGCCCCGGTTTGTACATTCTTGGCCGGAACAATTCATAGTTAATATGTCCTCGTCAGGATATCACATACAGGCACACAGTTCCTTCTGCCCCTCGTTGGTAAAATTAATTTTGATCTCCGATTCACGATGTTGTTCAGTTTCTCCACTTCATAATGACTGTTTTTTATGCCCTTGTAACTAGTAGGGAGACTGTGGGAGACACAGATACTCTTGTTCCTCATCTAAATCTCCCCCCAGACTTAGCATTCACTGATGATTTTTGCCCAGTCCAGTCTTTACTGTGATGGTTGTACTGCTAGTTTTTAATAGTGGAGGAGAGTAGCGTGGTCAACTGGAAAAGAGTCCACAAGCTAGAAAAGTAAGGGAAATGCTTTATGGATGTTGGAAAGAATAACGTAGTCTACTCGGTTAACTGAATCAGATAAACTTATACTGGCAGAGACTAATAAGGAACTCTTTTTTTTTTTTTCTTTTTAAATGGATTTAAGAAGAATGGAGTGGAAAGTACAGAGAGTTCCTACATTGCCCCCCTCCCCACTTCCCCCTAATGGTAACATCCTTGGCATTAGTAAGATATATTTGTTGCAGTTGATGGGCCAATGTCGATACGTTATTATCTGAAATCCATAGTTTACGTAAGGGTTCATTCTTGGTGCTGTCTGTTCTTTGATTTCTCTTTGTTTTGACAAACGTATAATGATGTGTCAATCCCTGCAGTATCCTGCAGAGTGGCTTCACTCTGCTCCACGGATGCCTGCTTCCCTCCTCCTCAACCCCTGGCAGCCGCTGCTTGTTTTCCTGCCTCCATAGTTTTGCCTTTTCCAGATGCCATGTGGTTGGAATCGCAGAGTACGCAGCCTTTGCAGATTGGCTTCTTTCACTTAGCAGTGCGTATTTGAGGTTCCTGCATGCCTGGTCACAGCTTGACAGCTCATTTCTTTTTACTGCTGAATTACGATTTATTGTCTGGAGGTACCAGAGTTTATCCATTCACCTACTGAAGGACATGTAGGTTGCTTCCAAGTTTTGATAATTATGAACAGAGCTGTTACGACCGTGCATGTGCAGGTTTTTGTGTGGGCATAACTTCTCAGCCTCCTTGGTCAGTACAGCGCTGAGCACAGTTGCTGGATCGTGTGGTAAGAAGAGTATGTTTAGTTGTGTGAGGAGCTACCAGCGTGGCTGCGCCATTGCACATTCCCGCCAGCTATGAGTGACAGTTCCTGTTGCTCCACATCCTGATCAGCGGGTGCTGTCGTCAGCGTTTTGGATTTTAGCTGTTCTATTGTAGATGTGTAGTAGTGTCCGGTTGTTGTTTTAATATGCACTTCCCTGATGACATATGATGTGGAGCATCTTTTCATGTGCTTGTTTGCCATCTGTACATCTTCTTTGGTGAGGTATCTGTACTGGTCTTTGACCCATTTTTAAAATCAGGTTGTTTGTTTTCCTGTTGTTGAGTTTTAAGAGTTCTTCGTATATTTTGGATACCAGTCCTTTATCAGGTGTGTCTCTTGCAGAGATTTCCTCCCAGTCTGTGGCTTGTCTTCTCATCCTCTGAACCGTGTCTTTGGTAGATGAGAAGTTTTAAATTTTAAGTATTAAATTTTAATTTTAATAAAGTCCAGTTTTTTCCTTCATGGAAATGCTTTCGATGTTCTTTAAACGCTTTTGGTGTTGTATTGAAAAGTCATCACAAACCATCAGCGGGTGTAGAGTCGTTGCGAGTGGGAGGCCCCGGGAACCGAGTCGGAGGTCCCTCCCATCGCATCGCGTCGTCTCCTTGCACGTAGGAAAAGTGATGACTAAAGTTCTGTCCTACTCCAGTTCAGATGAATAAATAGTAACTTCATTTTTATAAGATGATTTATGCATAATTCAAACAGAACATTGTTCAATTTTGGGGGAAAATAAAAGAAAGTCATAAGTGAAGATTACAGTTCGGCATTTTGGGCTAAATTTTTTTCTTAAATGATAAAACAATACAGATATCACATCCTTTGCCAAACATTCTCATTCAGTCTTGGCCTGTGTTTTTTAAGAAATAGTGTATATGGTACAGTTTGTTTTATGCTTCACAGTATTACCAAGATTAGGAGAAGTAATGGAATTTCACATCACACTAGCCTTTGCCAGTAAGAAAATCAGTCACAGGTGCACTTCGGTGTTTTACCTCTACATATAATGAAAGTTATTCATTCAGTGTCCTTTTGGATAACTTGGGGGGAAAGGGATTCTTTATATACTTAATTATACTTAATAATACTAATAATAGAGTGTACTTAATTCTGTCATTTTGGAACAGTGATTAAAGAAATCAAAGGTTGTAAAGCAATTATACTCCAGTGAAGATGTTTAAAAAAAAAGAAGAAATCAAAAGTATTTCCCTATTTTTACAGATAAGCAGCAAAGATGAAGATTTTTTAGACCTTTCTGTTGACGTGGAACAAAACACATCCATTACTCACTGCTTAAGGTAAGTGCAGAGTTATTTATTTTGACATGTAATGACTGTCTTTGGGTTTAGAATATTTTTAAATGAATACGTAACTTTCTGGTATAGACACAATTATTTTGTGTTTTACGCAGGGGTTTTAGCAACACAGAAACTCTATGCAGTGAATACAAATACTACTGTGAAGAATGCCGCAGCAAACAGGAAGCACACAAACGGTAAGTCAGTGTTTTTAACATTTATAGTGATTCAGTGGCAGTGTTGTGGATGGGCTTTTCTAGCTGAAAGCGATCTATGACAATTTGCGATGAGAAAACATTCTTTCATCACCAACAGCTCAGACTCATTAGGTAATTCCTGGATAAACAGTATCCAACTCTGTACCCTCAGGTGACTTTCTGCATTTAGTGGTTGTTTAATAATCATAAACCAATACAGTTAAAATATTTTGCTTTGAAGCTTTCTTGATAATGTAGACTTCTTCTTGGTGAGGAAGGATGAGGGGAAAGTACTTCACTCACCCTCACTCTAGTTTCCACTGTTCCTACATAGGATTTTGTACCTTCCCTCAGTATATTATTATGAAGACGGTATTTTGGTATCAAGGAATTGAATCATCATCCTGATTATTTTACTTTTTATTTTGGATCAAGCTCAGAAAAGTTGCGTGAACAATACTAACAATGTTTTTTTTTTTTTACCCTAAACCATTTGAGAGTGAGTTCCTGATATGATATGATGTCCCAAGATCCTGGCCACTTGGGTAGCTGTTTCCTACCACAAAGGAAGTCTCCTGTGTACTGTATCCATCCAGGTCAGGAAAGTAACGCTGATGTGTTACTGTTATCGTAGACCTTATTTTAGTGTCACCAGATATCCCAATAATGTCCTTTATAGAAAAAAGGATCCAGTCCAGAATTACACATTGCATTTAGTATTCATGTCTCTTTAGTCTTTTTTACATTTAGAACAGTTCCTTGGTCTTTTCTTGACTTTCATTATCTTGGCACTTGAAAAGTACAGATTAGTTATTTTATAGAATGTTCTTCTTTGGGTTTGTCTCATGTTTTTGTATGATTAGGTTCAGGTTATGTATTTTGGGCAGGAATCACACAGAAGTGATGCTGTGTTCTTCTCATTGTGTTCTTTTAAATGGCACACGATTCTCATATGTGTCAAGTGTCAGGGTTCCCAAGACACTCCTGGATTTGGTGACTGACTAGAAGGACTTGCAGGACTCAGCATATATAGTCGTGCTCACAGCTGAGATTTATTACAGGGAAAGGGGACAAGTACAATCAGCCAAGGGGAAGCCAGGCCAGCTTGCAAGAGTCCTGTCCCCGTGGAGTCACACAGACGTACTTAGTTCCTCCAGCATCAAATGTGACAACATGGGAGAAGTGTTGTCTCCCAGGGAAGCTCCTCACCGACTCGGTGGCCGAGATTTATTGGGGGCTGGACACGTAGGCATCCTCTGCCTGGCATGTACCAAAATTCCAGGCTCCCGGAAGGAAAGCAGGTGTTCAGCATAAACCAGATGATTTGCACAGACAGTTCTCAGGGGCATCGAGACACGCTTGTCAGTTAGGGAACAGTGGGGACACCCCCCGATCAAGTTCCCAGATGTTAGCCCAGGACCATCCTTGCACCCGGCCTTTCCGAGGACAGTCTGAGGCCTGCTCTGGGACTCTGTCTTGCACATCCCGTGACTGGTACTGTTCTCTTTGGACACTTGACTTAAGGTGCTGTCTCCCAGGATTCTTCACTGTGAAGCTGTGCTTTTCCCCAGTTGTAATTCATATGTATTTTGAGATTGAAAGTTTGGTGAGAAATGGGGATATTTACAGTTTTTTTCATTTTTTAAATCTCAGTGAGGACTCAGAGATTCCTGTTTTATCCTGTGGGTGATGACTGTCTCGTTTATTTTCATGTTCACATTATCCCGATTTGGCCAGCAGGAGCCCCTTCCCGCTGCCTCTGGTGTCTTTTGTCCCGTCCCTTTGTTCTCCAGCCCCTCTTTACTCTGTAGTGCAACAAGATGTGCAGGCTCGCTTTGTACCTTCCTTGCCCCCCCCACACTGGTACCAGCCGTTTCTCGAAGGAGCCCTGGTTCCTTTTAGGGGGAGAATAACGTTTAAAAACCAGGACCGTGGTATAGGTGTGCTCGTTGCCGTTGCCGTGTCACTGTTCCTGGGCCCACTTAGTGAACAGAGCTGGAGGACATGCGTGCTCGTGTGTGTACATATGTATACATATTTACATCTGTACTTATTTATCTGTTGGTCTGTCTGTATCGAAAAACCACAAATTCACAACAGTACCTCCAGTTTCATCCAACACCATAGGGTTTATTCTGGTTTTCTCCTTTTTAATATTTGTAAGCCCCTCCTCTGACAGTACAGATTGGCTCCCATTATCCTTATGTGTGTGTGTGTGTGTATATATATATATATATATATATATATATATATATATATATATATTTTATCCTTATATATTTAATAGTTTGGTCAGTGCCCCTGTAGGTAGCCAGGCTTATCACCGCACCCCTGCCCCCCAGAAATAAACCTGCATTTATATGCTCAGTGATCTTCAACAGATGGTGGTGGGAAAACTGGGTATCCACATGCAAAAGATTGAAGTTGGATCCTTACTTCATACCATTCACAAAAATTAACTCAAAATTGGTTAAAGACCTAACCATAACACCTGAAACTATAAAACTCTTAGAAGAAAACATAGGGGGAAAAAAAAGCCTCACGATGTTGAGTATGGCAGTGATTTCTTGAATATGACACCAAAAGCACAAGCAACAAAAGCAAAAACAGATAAATGGGACTATATCAAACTTAAAAACTTATGTGCAACAAAGGAAACAACGGAATGAAATGATATGAATGGGAGAAAATATTTGCAGAATATTAACAGAATGGGAGAAAATATTTGAAAACCAGATATCTGATAAGAGGTTAACATCCAGAATATAAAGAACTCACACAACTAAACAGTAGAAACCACATCACCCAATTAAAAATTGGGCAAAGGACTTGAGTAAACATTTCTCCAAAGATGACATACAGATGGCCAACAAGCATATGAAAAGATAACATAACTAATTATCCGGGAAATGCAAATCAAAACCACAGTAAGATACCACCTCACATTAGTTAGGATGGCCACTTTCAAATAAAAAGAGAAAATAATGAGTGTTGATAAGGATATGCAGAAAAGGGAACTGTGCATTGTTGGTGGAAATGTAAAATGTTGCAGCCACTGTGGAAAACAGTGTGAAGGTTCCTCAAAAGTATTAAAAATAGAATTACCGTATGATCCAGCATTCTGCTTCTAAGTACATATCCAAAAGAACTGATAACAGGATTTTCAAAGAGATATGTGCATTCCCATGTTCATTGCTCTAGTATTTACAATAACCAAGAAGAGGTGGAAGCAACTTAAATGTCTGCTGACAGTCACACATGGTCATAGGTCGTGTTCCCCTCACCCCCAGCACCATGTGCCCCAGTTAGTCGTGCTTGACATTATAAGAGGAAACTGTGGAATTTTATGTACAATTATTAAGCTTTTCTGTGTGGTCAAGACTTGCCCTTTTTCTTTTCTAATGTAAAAATTTAAAGCTATAAATTTTCCTCTAAACGCTGCTTTGGCTGTGTTCCCACAAATTTTAACATGTTGTATTTGCGTTATCATCCATTTAAAAATCTATTCTAATCGCCCTTGTGATTTTGTCTTTGTCCCATGGATTATTTAGAAGTATATAGCTTAGTTTCCATATTTCAGGGGGGTTTTGCTATTTTTTGTTTTTTAATTTTTGTCAGGAAAATATATCCTGTGATCTCTGTCTTTTGGAAGTTATTGAGACTTCTTTCATTGTCCAGTACATTAATGAATGTCCAGTTGTACTTGAGAAGAACATATATTCTTCAGTTTGAAATGGAGTGTTCCATAAATGTTGATTAGATCCATAATTTGGTTGTTCGTACCTTCCCTATTCCTACTGACTTTTTTTGTTAGAGAAGTCTGTTAAAGACTTTAACTCTGTGCATTTATCTGTTTATTTCTTTAATTCGATCAGATTTGGTATTTGGTACTTGAAGATTGTGTCCTCTTGATTAGTTGGCCCTCTTTATTATGGAATGTCCTTCTTTTTTTTTTTTGGAATGTCCTTCTTTATCTATAGTAACACTCCTTGGCTTGGGTTCTACTTTGTCTGATATTAGAATCAGCCAGAGCCAGCTTTGCTGACTTTGTTAATGTCTTTTTCCATCCTTCTACTTTTTAAAAATAGTTTTAAATTATGATTAGATATTATCTAATTATAATTAGATAAAAGGAAGGTAAATACCTCTTACGTTAGTGCAAAATGAACACACCTTATTGTTTTAAAGATGTAAAAGCAAGAAAAAGTATATCATAAATTCATCCAAATTTTAATCATTGTGTAAATGCCATTTAAAAAAATCTAAATGGAAAATTAATTTATAAGTCAGTTTACAGAAGATAAAAATCAATGTCGGGGACTTCCCTGGTGGTCCAGGGCTTAAGACTCTGTGCTCGCAATGCAGGCGGCCCGGGTTCGATCGCTGGTCAAGGAACTAGATCCCACGTGCTGCAACTAAGACCCGGCACAGCATGCACGCATGCGTGCATGCATACATAAATCAATACATTTTAAAAATCAATGTCTATTTCAAACTTTAACTAAAAAGGAAAAAAAAGTTCTCTGTCCTCCCGTTTTTTTCTTCAGCATATTTGTCTTTTGGAGAAAACATTACATTCTGAGACCACTTTTTTAACAACAGTGACAGATCAGGAGCTCCCTAAGGTCACCTTTCTCCACACGTGTTTGAATGGAAGGAAAACCAGAATCCTGTCAATTCTTTGGTGTGTTTGTGGAATTGGTGTTTCAAGCAGGAAATCAACTTCTTTGTTCTTCCTTCTGCTTCACAATCTCCATAATGAATTTGACTCAGCTTATCTATGTGTTCATTTCTTCCTGAGCCATGTCAGTATGAGAAAAATTTTGTGAGATAGTCTCTCATCATCTTTAAAATGTGGCTCCACAAATATTTGTGTTTGACTTTATCCTGTGTCTCTTCACAAGTGTCGGGTTTCCTCTGGGAAGAAGTGCTGCTGGGAGGATTCGTGTTCCTCCCGTGTTGTCTGATGGGGCGTATTTTATAAGCCAGCATTTTTGGACATGTTCTGTTTTCTCCATTTGGGCCTTTCCCCCTCTGCTCTGGCTTAATTTCTAAAAGCACATTTTTCCTAACCCCCAGGCCATATCTGTCTCCTCTTCCTAATCTTAACTGCCTGTATCTAATACACTACTAACATATTTAACACTTAGAAAAATCCTTGTGGGTTTGCACCTCACTGGACATTTTCAAAGGATAGTTTGCTTTTATTGTTTTGAAAGAGTTTGTTTTAGCAACTCTGTACCAGTTTAATTGAACAACTGATGTTTAAGAGTTGGATTACTGTATATATAAATATATATCTTGACTTTTTTACTTTCCGTAAGTATTTTCCCATGCCATTTAGAAACTTTCAACAGCATTGTTTGAAGTTGTAAAATATTCTGTTGTGTTTGTATTGTAATGTATTTCAGCGTTTCACGTTGTTGAATAGCTAGGATTCTCCCACTTTTTCACAATATAAAATAACTCCAGAACTGAATTCTTCTCAGAAGTCTTGTATTTGAGATGATAGATCTAGTTTCGATTACTGAGGCAGAGGCCACAAAGGCTGTTGATTCGTATTGCTCGATTGCTTTCCAGGAAGGATTAGGTTTTACGTTTATTTTTGCTGATGTTTTCCAAAAGCCAGGTTAATAAACACTTCTGGAATCAGCTGTCGCACCACAGGTAAGACCTGTAGAACGCAGACCTAGAATGATGCTATAACATGAGTTGTTTTCACTTCAGCAGAGGCAGAGGTTTACTAAGTGTCATTGTTTAATCACGAAAAGTGTTTTGCCTCACTGAACGCACACAGAATTCAGTTCTCTAGTGTTTGTCAAGTACCTAGGTGTGCTAGATGGATAAATATAATAAAAGAGATGGTTCCTGTCTGTCCGGAGTCCAGACCCTAGAAGAGAACGACCCGTAATCATCTCAATGTTTTATAGTGTAATAAACTGTACAGATGTGAAGTGAGTGTGTGAAGTGCTGATGGAGGGTTGAGGAGAGCAGCTATTTGCGCCAGAAGATCAGGCGTCGGCGCTGAAGTGAAATGGGGGAGCAGAGGCATCTCGGGGAGAGGCTGCCCGGAGGGGTCCTTCAGGGCGTGGGGGGATGGGGAGGCCCGTGCTTTACAGGTGAAAGCCTCGCTCCTGCGTTTCCAGGTTATTTTATTCCCTTTCCAGGGTGCACGCAGCCACCGCTCTTACTAAGGAGCTGTTCCTTGTCTCTGGCAAACGCCTTTAATGGATGGTCTTTAATGCTTTTCTCACTGTCTCCTGCTCTCAGTCTGTTACTGAATTATATAGCTGAATAGAACAAATGGATCTCAGCCTCCATTCACCTCCGAAGGAGTGAGCGGCCTTAAGGAACTGCTTTTTCCTGCAGCGGGCACAGTGACCTGTATTTCAGAAGTACAGAGTTGTTAATAAAGGAATGTGCCATCATATCTCTTTGGGAGCCATACCAAGTGCTGTGTCAGATTATGTGGTTTGGTGATGATGGGGGGCAGGGGCCGTCTTAAGACTTTCAGAATTTTGCTTTGCTAATACAAAAGTCATGGGTAGAAATATGTACAAGTGGGCAGTGCCAGGCTATGAAAACTATCAACTGTTACTTGAATCGTGAAGTTTGATAGTTCTTTTAAGGACATGGTGAACGTCTTATGAAATTTTGTTTTCATGTTTATTTTAACAGGATGAAAGTTAAAAAGCTGCCCATGATTCTAGCTCTGCATCTGAAAAGATTTAAATACATGGATCAACTCCATCGATACACAAAACTTTCTTACCGGGTAGTTTTTCCTTTAGAACTTCGTCTATTTAACACTTCAGGCGATGCAACCAATCCTGACAGAATGTACGACCTCGTGGCCGTCGTGGTTCACTGTGGAAGGTAACAGGGCCGTGGGCCATGGTGGCAGGATGCTCGGTGGTGGGCAGGTGCACGCACAGGATGCTCGGATATGCAGGCCCTTTGGAGGCTTCCGTAGCCCTCGGTGCTGTAGGACGAAAATAAGTTTATTTCAAATGGATATTTCAGATGCATTTTACCATTTCCTTCTTAAAACCTTTACATATTAAAATAGTGTGTTATTGCCTGGATTTGATACTTGTTCTTATTATTTAAATATTATTCTGGGAACTTGAAGTCCTGTTAGTTTTTCGTTTCCTTTTTTCTTGATTATTGGTAAAAAAAGAAAAACACTGCTTAAAGCGATTTTACAAAATAAGTTCTTTCTGAGATTAATTGGATATGTTCATCATGTTAATGATTGTGAAAAACACTTTAAAAGGTTTTGGAGATAATCTTCGAAGATAAGCTTCCTGATTTTATAAGTCCGTGTGTTTCCTGTTAGCCAATAGAGTGTACTATCTCATCTATAGATCTTAATTTATAGAATAGCTCAAAAAATTCTCAAACCACAGGAGTGTCACATAATCAACATTTATATTTGGAACATACAGTCTTCATTGACTATTTAGAATTTCCTGTAATAATTTTATTTTTTATTTATTTATTTTTGGCCGCACTGTGCAGCTTGTGGGATCTTAGTTCCCCGACCAGGGATGGAACCCAGGCCCTGGCAGTGAAAGTGCCGAGTGCTGACCCCTGGGCCTCCAGGGAATTTCCTCCTGTAATAATTTTAAAACAGGTCACTCATCCTTTTCCCCCTGGCTGTTGGAAACTTGTACTAACAGCGTGTTGTACTCCAGCCTCTCCTTAGCTGTCCCTCCCTCTCCCAGCTTTCTGCTCAGAATATGTCAGGACAGCTGCGAGGGAGTCCACTTCTGTCACAGTCTTTAACCTCCATGGTCTGTGTCAGCCCATCTCCTGCCTCTTATCCTCAGCAGTAATCTTTGTTTTCCATTTTTGGAGCATGATGTTTCTAAAGAAGAGCGATGACATCTGAACAGAGGAAAACGACATCGGGTACCTTACAGAGCCCTGGTGTAATGATCAGACTGGAGGTTTATTTTAGCATAAAAAGTGGTGTTTTTTTTTAAGTTTTGAGGTATTTTCCTCTACAGTGAAAAAGTACTCTCTTTGTGTCATTTTGTCACCTAAGATATTCATCTCAACTATGGAATCAAAGATCTGAGGAAACTTGGAGGCAGCTTATTCTTATATCTGAGGTTGCTACTTTTAAAATAGTATTCACCATAAAGAATAATCTGTGTTGAAAATTACTTCAAAGTCTGTAATATAATAATTGTGGTAGAATTATAATTTGATTTAAAAAGTATATATAAGCTTTTATAGTGAGTCATACTTAAACTGGGAGAGGTTAAAAATCTTTGACGTGTTCTTTGTAAAGTATTTCTTTTAGGGACTTCCCTGGCGGTCCAGTGGTTAGGACTCTGCGCTTCTACTACAGGGGACACGGGGTTCGATCCCTGGTCAGGGAACTAAGATCCTGCAAGCCACGAGGCACAGCCAAAAAAAAAAAAGAATTTCTTTTAAAAGAAATAATCCCACCTTTATTTTTACATTTTTCTAGATTTCTGTATTCCAGATTTGTTGAAAATGAGATGCAGAGGCAATTATAATAATTATAATGGTGCTAAGAGTTAAGTACTTAAAGCTAGCACTAATAATACTAAAAAAAAAAGTCACTTGTTTAAAGAAGTTTATGAAGTTGGAGCTTGATTTCAGAGCCAAGGATTTGATATCTTTACTTTTTCAAGCATCACATGGAATCCTTCCTCAAGAAAAACTATTGCCGAGGGTTAAGACTCAGAAATAACTCTACATGCATTGTTTTGTAGTTTAATTCAGCATGTTCTGCCTGTGATCACCTCTCCTCCCCTCAAAAAATGCTAGAAATTTTTATTTCAATCTTTTATAGAAGTAAATTGGAAAATTACTTCAAAAATAATAATTTTAGGGCTTCCCTGGTGGCGCAGTGGTTGAGAGTCCGCCTGCCGATGCAGGGGACGCGGGTTCGTGCCCCGGTCAGGGAAGATCCCACATGCCGCGGAGCGGCTGGGCCCGTGAGCCATGGCCGCTGAGCCTGCGCGTCCGGAGCCTGTGCTCCGCAACGGGAGAGGCCACAACAGTGAGAGGCCCGCATATCGCAAAAAAAAAATAATAATAATAATAATTTTAAAAGGCACAAAGAATTTTATAGTATAGCTTTATATAAAGAGAATACTGGTTATATCTCTCAAAGTAGAGTACTGATTATTTGGTCTTAAAATTGAATGCCAGTTCAGATCAATGTAGCTTGATCTTTCGGGGGAAAGAATAGGTAAGGAATATTTTTATCTGTTTCAGTTTTTCTACTTTACAGAACGTGGAATATAGGGCATAGAAGAGCAATGCTAATAAACTTTGTATAAAATTAACTTTTATTTCTCTTTGTTTTAGTGGTCCCAATCGAGGCCATTATATTGCAATAGTTAAGAGTCATGATTTTTGGTTGTTGTTTGATGACGACATTGTAGAAGTAAGTAGTTTCCTAATTTCTTGTTTTTCTTCAAAGTTGTGTGTGTATTTTGCTCTTAACTTTTTCCTTCCAGCTTCTCATTGTATATGACAGGTCTTCAGATTGTAGTCTGATTTCTACTTCTTGCTCCCTAACATCCAGTCCCATTGCTATAATGGTCAGCTAACCTTTAAAATGTTTAGAGGGCTTCCCTGGTGGCGCAGTGGTTGAGGGTCCGCCTGCCGATGCAGGGGACACAGGTTCGTGCCCCGGTCCGGGAGGACCCCACGTGCCGCAGAGCGGCTGGGCCCGTGAGCCGTGGCCGCTGAGCCTGCGCGTCTGGGGCCTGTGCTTAGCAACGGGCGAGGCCGCGGCGGTGAGAGGCCCGCATACCGCAAAAAAAAAAAAAAAAAAAAAGTTTAGAATAGGCACTTCCCTGGTGGCACAGTGGTTAAGAATCTACCAGCCAATGCAGGGGACACAGGTTTGATCCCTGGTCCAGGAAGATCCCACGTGCTGCGGAGCACGTAAGCCTGTGCACCACAACTACTGAGCCTGCGCTCCAGAGCCCGCGAGCCACAACTACTGAGCCCGCGTGCCACAACTACTGAGCCCGCATGCCACAACTACTGAAGCCTGCGTGCTTAGAGCCTGTGTTCCACAACAAGATAAGCCACCTCAATGAGAAGCCCTCACACCTGCACAGCAACCAAGAGCAGCCCCTGCTCGCCACAACTAGAGAAAGCCCACGTGCAGCAACGAAGATCCAACACAGCCATAGATAGATAGATAGATGGATAGATAGATAGATGAATAAATAAAATTTTTTAAAATGTTTAGAATAAAACAAGGGAAAATCTTTCAACAACAGAGCTAGTTTTAAAAAAAACACTAGGGCTTCCCTGGTGGCGCAGTGGTTGAGGGTCCGCCTGCCGATTCAGGGGACGCGGGTTCGTGCCCCGGTTCGGGAGGATCCCACATGCCGCGGAGCGGCTGGGCCCGTGAGCCATGGCCGCTGAGCCTGCACGTCCGGAGCCTGTGCTCCGCAATGGGAGAGGCCATGACAGTGAGAGGACCGCGTATCGCAAAAAAAAACAAAAAAAACAAAAAAAACCACACTATTAACAAAATAACTTTTTGAGCTATAAGGCACAGTAAAGTATGCAAATTTTAAACAACTTAAATTTTTACGTGAATGCACACACACACACATAACCGCCATCTAGATCAAGATACAGTATATTTTCAACACCCCAAGAAGCTCCCTTATTCCTCCTCCTGGTCAGTACCCACAGCTTTCCTCCCCTACCCACCATCCCCTGGAATCCCCTATTTTGAATTTTACTATGTTACTGTGATGAATTTTGCCTGTGTTTGAATACAAGGGGCTCATCCAGTGTGACTGCTTTTGTGTCTGGCTTTTTTCACTCATCAGTACCTGTGCAGCTCAGTCTTGTTGCCTGCAATAGTAGTTCTTTCTTTATTGCTGTCTAATTTTCCATTGTACGGATATACCACGTTAGAAACTTGACTTTTTGTCCATTGTTGACTATTACAAATAAAACTGCCTTGATTATCCTTGTACAAGTCTTTTGTTGGACATAGGCCCTCATTTTTCTTGGGTATATTTTAGATTGAACCATATGAGACAGCCATTTTTGTAGGTCCCCAATGGTTGACAATTAGTGGTTTCCTATAGTTCAGCCTATACCCAGGAATAGAATTGCTGGGTCACACACAGGGTAATTGGATGTTCAGCCTTAGAAGATGATGCTAAACATTTTCCCCGGCATCTGTGCCATTCTACATTCCTCCCAGCTATGAATGAGAGTTCCATTTGTTCCACATTCTCACCAATACTTGGCATCATCCGTCTTTTTAATTTAAGCCATTTGGATTGTGCAGAGCTGTTTTATGAATGAGAAAATGAAAGGCATTATTCTAAGAAAGGTTGAAGATTTTATTGCATTTAAGCAGTTCAAAGAGCTTGTCTTTGTACTAAAGTTTATGTTTTGCCTCACAGAAAATAGATGCACAAGCTATCGAAGAATTCTACGGGTTGACGTCAGATATCTCAAAGAACTCTGAGTCTGGCTACATCCTTTTCTATCAGTCCCGGGACTGAGGGAACCGCAATAAAGAGAGACTTTCTGCCTCATTTCTTCTCTGGTTATTTGGGAAAGGATCAAGCACCAGTGTTCCAAGAAAAGAGAAATGCAGGGAGCTCAGGGGGCAGTAGCACACTTTGCACACAGTAAAGCAAAGACTGGATTAACACGCTGTTCCTACCGTGGTAGTTGATTGATTTGCTCAGGTATCATGCTGTCTGCGCAGTTCCATACAACAAGGCAGTGAAATCAGAGATACCAGCTCCTCTTGTAAAACAGCCTTCCAGTAATTGACATGCACTTTCTCTTCGTTAATTGCACCAATGAGATTGAACTCCTTGGGGGTGCAGTAGAAAGAAAAGGAATCTGTGAGGTGGTACTGACAATCGCAGGAGGTGATGTTGAACACACTGCATACCTTTGCCTGGTTGAACACATCGAGAAGCAATACTGGGTGGTCTTTTCGAGCGTAAACCAGAAATACTTTTGGGCCCAACACTTGCAGTTGCCTTCCTGATGTAAAGAAACTAACACATACTAGAATCCAGTGTCAGGAAGACAAATACGTTTGCTTCTCTGAAGAAGCTTATAATAATATACAGTATATGTATATCTAGGGAACAGTTGGTCAAAAGTGGCTTTTTGTTTCCCCAAGGGGAAAGACTGGCTTTGTAATTATAATTTTTTTCCTTATTTATTTTACTTAAAACTGGTAGAGTCTAAGTATTGTATGAAGTGCCCATGATTCTGTCAGTAAATTTCAGCATATTTTTATTAGTTTTTGTCAGTTTAACTAATCCTTTTGTTTGTTTCTGTTTTTAAGGTGAATTTTAAACTCTGTTTTAAATCATAAGTTACCTTAAGAAAAATTGCAATGAGAGGAGGTACATATTCTTTTTCGGGAGGAACTGATATCTCTGGCTAAATATTTGTCCTAGTTGTCAGTCAGTTATTTCATGCAGTTTTAATTTCAGTAAAATTAAAAACTATCCCAAATTCCCTGTCATTGTGGAATGATCTAAGAAGTCCTGGTGCAGCAGTGGTGTGCGGCCTTGAGAGTTCGTCAGTGCTCTGCTTCAGGTTGAGGCCACGTTTGGAAAACTCATGTCATAGCAGCTACGTTACTTTCAAATGTTCTTTATCCTGGAAAGAAGTGATCCATCCCAGCCCCAGCTCCTGGAGAGCTAACAGACCCTGTGAGGGTTACATTTTAATGAGGTCGACCAGAAGTACTTTGAAAGCAAGTCTTTTTTTTTTTTTTTTCCCCCCTTCCACCTTTACAGATGTTATTGGAATTTAACTTTGTGTCTAAGACTTCATTCTGTTGGCAGTTTCAAGAAGTAATATGTGTGATGTAAGATGTATGTAAACCGTTGCAGTTGACACTTTGCCATGCATCAAGAAGTTGTCTGACGGTGGCCGAATGTAACTTGCTGAAAATAATTGAATATATATACAAGATAATAGCAATCAGGCCTTAGATGTTCCTCATTCATGTTTTTTCCAGGCAGGAATCTTTTTCTTTTAATCGTTGTAATTTTGTAAGCTTATTTTACTAATACTGTTGAATCTGAAAAACAAGCAACAAAAAAATGTTTTGTCTGCTGCTATTATTAACATTTATTATCTGTATCTTTTAGCTCAGGAAATGACTTCACCTGTTCGTTCCATGGATCGATCTTTAACAGGGTCACTTAGCTAATGGGACTGTTGAAACAGATGTACTGGGAGAAAATGATGATATATTTTGACAGATTGCTTTTTAAGAGACAGTTTCTAAAGCCTTACCCTGGCTGGAATGGTTCTGGTACAAATCATACGGCCTGCCTGATCTACCACCGTGGCACAGAGAATCACAACCAAGAATGTGGGCAAGGTGATAGCTGCGGAGGTGGATGCATTTTTTATTTTGAGGGCTTCAGCCAAATTGTCTTGGAATTTAAAGCGAAATTTCTGCAGCTTTCAGTATGGAGACGAGGAGTAACGTGAAGCTGAACCAGTTTTTCCTTGCGTTGGGCCGCAACATGTATGAAAAAGATAGATGAAGTCATTTGCATAAAGGTACAGCATTGGGATACTATGTTGTGTTTGTTTTTACATTGTGCATTTAAAAAAACATACAGTGAAGTAAAAGCCAAGGTTAAGTTTCCTACTGAAGCAAGTTCTCGCGTTGTTTTTGAGTTCCATGGTAGTCACACACTGTTCACATCTACACCCTGTTTAATAGGATGACTTGTCAGGAGGGGACGATGGGGTGATGGTTGTCAATTTTCTTTGTACACTCTGAGTGCAGCTGCACCTACGTAAAATGTTTTGAAGCTTCTCAGAAATACAGTATACTTTAAAAACATGTAGGGTTAGGGTCGGGGGGAGAAATGCAGATATAGCAAGTAAGAAAAGTGACCCATATAGAACACGTTGTGAGGTTGTGCGCTGGTCCGACTGACGGAACTGAGGGGCGGGTTTCAGTTGTAAATGGTGGCTGATTGCTGTCTAACTGTGTACTTGTTTGTTGGGATGACTATCCCATATTTTGTATATTGGAATAAAAATTTCTATAAATTATCATAACTGAAAGTAAATATTCTAAATTAAGTCTCACTTCTAAGTCACATGGCTTCTGTCTTGGCGGCTTTACCTTTAGAAGCTGGCTCGAGACAGGAGCCCTGAGACTTTAGGCAAAGAGAAGAGGTGAGGAATGTAATATATGGGTCTCGTCGCCTCTGACCATCCGTGTAGGGTTTTTTCTTTCCTTGACGGCAGTAGAAAGACCTCACTCCCATAACTTACTACTCTTGATACTTTCTTTAAAGCTACTTTTCAATAAAGATTCTCTCATGAGGTATTTACCTGGGAGTTGGGAGGCTAAGGCGCTCAGGTCCTGGCTCCTCAGTGAATTTAACTGTGTGACCTTGGGCAAGTCACTTAACCTCTCTGTGCTTCAGTCTCCCTATCTTGTAAAATGGGAGTAATACCTACCTCACAGGGTTGTTGTGGGGATTAATTAGATATAATGTCTGTAAAGCATCTAAGGTTCTTGAAGAAGGCGCTATATAAATACAAAATAATATCTATTAAAGTTGGTTTATTTGTGCTTGTGGGGTTTTGTGTGTTTTTTCCTTTTTTCCTCAGATGCATTTGCAAACTAGAAGTACACACTTCGGACACTGTGTTACTGGTTTTGCTCAGAAGTTACTACTTTTGTGACCCAAAGAGATTTTGCCGGAACACATCCCATTTGTGTAAAATAGCATTCCGTACGTGCCTGCGTGTTTCTTCACCACGTACCTTGCATTTATTTGTCTTTATTTAGTAGCATTGTCTTTCCCCAAATCCCAAGTTTAGAAATGTAAACTTAGAATCTCAGAGGGCAAGATATCTTTAACAGTCACTGTTGCTAGCACCCCTCCTCCCTTCCAGGGTAGTACTTGCTCCTGTAAAATCAGCACTTGAACTTGAGGACTGGAAGCTTCGTCAACTGTTGAGGGACTGCTGTTTATTTATCCTCACCATTCTTGGGAAGCCTGGCCTGGAGGCGCTCTTGTTTATTCACGTCTCTGAAGGACTGTTCTCAGAGTGGACACAGCACCCGGAGGTGGGGAACTGAGACAATCATCTGTATCGTGTTGAACTTTGAGTAAATGACACTGTCTGTTTTCAAGAGTTTTTCGTGGACTGTTGAAAAGCCAGGACCACCCCTCCCGTTTTCCAAGTTCCCTTGTCTTCCAGTACCTGTGCCTGTTATTTGAAAGCTCTTCCTCTTCTCCTCATTGATGTGTTTTCTGTGACAACCCTTTTTTTTTTAAATCTCCAGAGCTGCTGAAATAACCCATCATTTTTGAGTTGAGCATGTGATAGGCCCTGGACTCAGCATTTTACCTTTTTAAAAGATTCATCTTGAAGACAGTGTCTATGAGGTTCATTTTACAAAAGAGGAAACTAAGGCTTTTCAGAGGTTGAGTGATTTTTCCCAAAGTCACTCAGCTGGAAGGTAGTAGATCCAGGTGTCAGAGGATCCGAACCCCTTGTTTCCCTGTGGAAGGTTCTAAATTACTCTCAGGAATTCTCCCTCAAGCAGCCACTATGGACCCCTGATTTCTGAAGAAACAAGCTTACACGATTCGTCATATACCGCTTAACTATAATCCACCTTAATACTGGGTTCCTTTCTTAAGTTTCCTCACCTGCTGTCAATGATGTGCCCTATAATTAAACTGATCTAGGACTTAATGAAAACGTCATACCTTCTAATTGTTTTCAAAGAAGCAAAACTCTTTGAAGGTCAAAAAAACAGTCCCACTCTACTGATAAGTCATTCCCAAATCTGGATAATTAGCAGAATCACTGGAGGAATTACAAACGTTCAGATTCCTGAGATCCATCCCCGAAGATTTTGACTGAAGATGAGAAATCGAGTTCTCAAGGGCTCCCAGGTGATTCTCATCATCCAGGTTTGGGCCTGTGTTAGAACTCACCTGAAGTTCTAGATCAGGGTTTCTATAAGTTCACTGCCAATCTGGAGTTGACCTGTTGGGAGCATTGTCGGAAAGTGAAATCATCTAAGGAATACTCATGGGATACTTAAGAGGGACAGAACTCTTGTCTTTACGTACAGCATTTGAAGGGCTGCCGTCTAGGGGGTGTTTTGCTTCTAGGGTTGAGTTGGGACAGAGCAGTGGGAAGAGCAGAAAGGCCCTTAAGTACAAGGGAGAGCTCTCTGTTGGTTCGGCAGTGAGAGAAGATAAGAAATGAAGCCTCGAGCAGGCGCGTCTTACCATTGGCAGGTGGGGTGCCTAGACTGGCTCGGAGGTTGTGCTAGAAAAACAAGCTCCTTCCCACGTGAGGCTGCAGGGACAGGGCGGACAGGGAGCCATGCATCCTAGGCCAGGGCTCGTATTAGCTCCACATCACACTGCCCTGCATCTTTTAAACTAGGTGGACGTCGGGTGCTATCATTTACCGCAGGGAGAACCTAGATTGCACTGGTCATTAGGGTGGGAAGCACCCGTTCGCCTGTCCCTGACTTGAAAAGAGGTAGGTGGGTTGAGCAAAGCACACCAGTCTCTAGGTTTCAGGTGGCAGGAGTTGATTTCGTATTCCTTCAGTTTGTGAGGGCACAACGGCCTTGGGTGAACCTACCCTGCATTAAAGACGCACTCCACCGTCTCTCAAAATACTTTCCTTTGGAGAACACTCTGGTTCTTCAGATTTAGGAACCTCCGAATTGTGGCCAACTTGATAAAAGACATTAAAAAGTGACCGAGGAGCGATGGCTTACCTTGTGCGGTGGTGCAACCCTTGCCCAGTAAATCCTGGAAAGTGCATGTTGGGTCATTGACAAGATTGCGGAAGAAGAGACGTGATTTTACTGTACTCGGCCGTGTCGTTCCAAAGTCTCACCCGCTGCAAGGCCCAGGAACAAGACAGTGATCGCATACTGTCTGTGCACATTTTGGGGTGATAAAAGAAATGATGACTTGTGTTGTTTATAACCTATTTACTGAAACTTCTGTTTGCTGGTGGCTTTTCCCTTCAGGAAGGAACCATTTTCCAAATGGAGTTTGTTTTAGGATGCAATATGAATTCTTGGGCTTCCCTGGTGGCGCAGCGGTTGAGAGTCCGCCTGCCGAGGCAGGGGACGCGGGTTCGTGCCCCGGTCCGGGAAGATCCCACATGCCGCGGAGCGGCTGGGCCCGTGAGCCATGGCCGCTGAGCCTGCGCGTCCAGAGCCTGTGCTCCGCGACGGGAGAGGCCGCAACAGTGAGAGGCCTGCGTACCGCAAAAAAAAAAAAAAAAAAAAAGAATTTCTTGGCTGGACTTGACTGGTTAGTTTTTAATAACCTGCCAGAGTGTCGCACTTATTTAAGGAAAAATAAAAAGTGATGATAGGATGGTGAGGAAAGTAGACTTACAAAATGGCCTGTCCGTGGATAAGATGATTAGATGGGATCATGGAAGCTTCAGAAAATATAAGCATCTTACCTGTTTTCCCCGCATTACATGTATTTATCATTCTAAAAGCCATCTCAATTATTGCACTCTGCCCAAAAGATGTATATTTTAAGTTCCTATCGTGAACCCAAGTATGAGCGATGTAGTGTCTGGACTTCTATACATCATATCTACTCTTTTACCATATATTAAGCTATTGACGAGAACCGGTTTGAACTTACATTGATTTACTAAATGTAGTTACCAAGTGAGATAAGGCTTAAGATCCTATCCCAAAGCAGGCAGGCAGGGGTGGGGAGATTTGTGCTCTGAGAAGGAAATCCTGAGCTGTGGTGTGGAGAGGGGTCTGGAGGGGCCAGAGTGGGTGTGTGTGTGATGAAGCTTCAGGGCAACAGGACTCTGCCGCGGGCTGGCTGGGGTGCAGGCGAGGGGAGCAGTGTCTAGGAGGACTTCTGGATTTGTGTCGCTGGCACAGCTTACGAGACAGAAGCCTTCTGCTGAGAACCCTGGAGGAGGGCCAGGCTTGGGGGTTAGGTCATAGTACTCCACGGTATGAATACCACGGTTTCTTTATAAGCATTTGCTTTTTTTTTTTTTTTTTTCGGTACGCGGGCCTCTCACTGCTGTGGCCTCTCCCGTTGTGGAGCACAGGCTCTGGACGCACAGGCTCAGCGGCCATGGCTCACGGGCCCAGCCGCTCCGCGGCATGTGGGATCTTCCCGGACCGGGGCACGAACCCGCGTCCCCTGCCTCGGCAGGCGGACTCTCAACCGCTGCGCCACCAGGGAAGCCCCATAAGCATTTGCTTTTAACAAACTCACACTGCCTGGCAGTTCGGGGAGGCCTAGCCCTGATGGCCAGGGAATCACTGGAATTCACACGCTCAGGATCTGTTAGCCTCTGTCCCACGTGCCACGGGGCAAAGCTTTAACAGTAGAATTTGAGATTAGGTACAAAGTTGAAATGGCTCTTGTACTTCTGAGATAATTACTCTGTGGCCAGGGAACTCCCAGAATGTGTTACAAGGTCTACAGTGATTCCGAGGTATTTAATAACTGAGGACAGATTGATAAGCTTAGCAGCCTCATGGTGAAGAATGTTGGGTGTCTTGAAAGCTTTTATTGGAAATGAATCGTATCTATCCTCTGCTCTGGCATAAATAATTTCCTTCTATGGAAAGGTGATACGTCTTAAGGACCGTGGAGGGGCTTTAGAACGAGAGAAAAAAAAAATGCAGTTGAAGGGCAACTTGCAAAGTTTTCAAAGGAAGTTTTGTGAAGTGAATTCACTGCTAGACAGATTGAAGTCCAGTCCGATGAATCTGATGGACCTGCCCCAGGAGCCGGGTGCCACTCTGTGAGATGCAGGCGTTGCAGTCCCATAGGAGGAGGGCTGATTCCAGGGCAGCCTTGCAGTCCCGGGTTCACTGGTATCGAACATGCTTCCATTCTCTCCAGGGGGAACTCTTGTCAGAGGTAGCTGCTGACGCGACAAGTTTCTCTGACACAGGTCTCTTGGTATCTTTCCGAGCACCAATCTAGATCTGAACTGGTGGTCACTTGGTGACCGTAATGTTCATTGCCTTCTCCTTTATATGCTGACCTAATCAGACACACATTAAGTGGGCAGCGAGCCAGCCTTTCAGAGCCTCAGGACCCAGTCCTATAGCCCATAAGCCTGCTTTCCTCATTTATAAAATGGCAAAAGTAAGGCTATCTTGTAGGAATGTCATAAATGGAATTGAGATACATGTAAGATACACCTGGTACAGTTCTGGGCGACAGTCCCTCAACAGCGTTGTCTAGAAACTTCAGCGGAAACCTAGTACTGATTTCTTAGATATTGAAGGGAGTTATTATGTGAAAAGCATCACTTCAGTTGTTGCAGGGGATGTAAAGATGGCTAAGACACCATTTCTGTTCTCACGGCGCTCACAGTGTAGAAAATAAGCTCATAGTTGAAGAAGAAAGACAAAACGTGAGTAAAATGTTCTTCAGTTTCCGCAGGAGCTGTCAGAGGAGACTCATGTGGTTTAGAGCGCATCCCAGCCCCGCTCCACGTGTCAGCTGAGCAAACGCCGGGCTTCATTCGGCTCCTGGCCTGTGAACTAGACATCACTGTGGATGCTGCCTGAGGGCCCAG